GGCGGCGGGGAAGCCGCGGTGCCCTGCGGTGGGTTTGCCTTTGGAAGCCACGTTTGTCTGCCTGGAGGTGGTAGCGAGGGGGTGGTCTGTAGGGGTGGCTAAGGATGCGCACGAAGAAGAATGTTACTTTGGGAAAAAAAAATACACGGCTCAGTAGAAATAATAGCTTTGCATGGAAACCCCGACCTGCGGTCCCACTGTAACGTGGTTTTGTTGCTGCTGTAGAAGAGAACCGTGAGTTTTTACTTGGAACGACAACACAACAAACTGACGAACGCCGGGTTCTGTCTGTGCCTTGTTATTTGTCTTGCTCTGTGTCAACACGTACTGAGTTGGTTTTTTTAGCCTGGGAGATCCTCTTTGAAGCCAGAAGAACTCAGGGGTTTGCTTAGACTGGAATGGCTGTTCTTTCTGAGACTGGTATTTAGTTTTCTTCACCAGTGGATAAATAGGATGTAATACCAAGTTATTCCGTATAAAAATGAGATACCTCATTGCATATGACTGTAAACTTCTACACCTTGTGCTTCTGCTTTGCATTTCACTAAGGTTAGGGAAGTAGTTCACACTCCTGGTTCCCTTACTCCTCCTCCCCCCAGCTCCCCCAACAACAACATGTAGAGGTTGAACTCTGAATATAATGGGTATTTATTTTGTCTAGATAGCAATTTAAATGGTGATGTCACTGAGACTGTGGGACATTTGCAGGCAAATCAGCTTTGCGGTTCCAACTGGAGTACAGAACAACTTGAGCTGTAACTTACTTTTATTGTCACTATTTTTCAAAAGAATTTAGTGAGGAGCTGAGTGAAGCTGTGCATATGGTGTGGGGTGGGGTTTTTTTGAAACTTACCTTCTGACTTGGCCTGACATACAGGAGATGTGGAATACTCTACTGGATCCCCCAGTTTTCCTTGCTGTTACTGGGCTAGAACCCATTAGCATCATCTTGATTAGTTAGGAAGTTTGCAGGCTTCATGTCTGTTTAATTCCTGCCCAAAGCTACTTTTAAAAATTCTTTTAAAATAGCTTGCATTTAGAAAGACAATGCTAACTGTATGCAGCACCTTTGGGTGGGTGGGACAAGCATACTGGTTCTTAGTCATTTGTCATTTGGCATTGGAGAATAGAAGCTGGTGAAGACTTTCTGAGTTGGTCAGTTCAGCTGTTGGGCTCAGATTAGTCTTCTGTATTTCAGTTTCCTTAAGAGACTGGATTTGACCTTAGATTTACTTAAGACTAGGTGTGTTTTATTAATCTTTTACAGAAATAAGCTGTTTACCCGAGGTGTTGATTGAAGTTTATGAGCACTGTAGTTAGGTATTTTTTTTAATTAAGGCTTTTTAGGCTGTTTTGCTCTTTTAGCACTAATTACAATGAATATAATGCTTTACTTTTGATAGCTGCGTTACTCAGATATGTTTGCTGAATGTGCTTGTAGGAATATAGTGACCCTAGAGATGACCTTCAGCCTGATGCCATGTTCTCTGTCACTTGATAAATTTAGTGGTTCTACCTGTAAATCTCAATGATTTTGTAATTAATTCTTTTTTATTCTTTTTCTTGATACTAAAAACTTTCTTATTTTGGAGATGGATTACCTGTATTCAGTTAAATATGCAGTGTTGTAATGTAAAATAATCTGGTTAAACACAAGATAAATAACTTCTAATTCAAGGCCAGCAACTAATAGAAAATGATTGAAAGTGATTGTTTGTTTGCTTGTTGCTCTGTGTTTTTTAAAATATTTTTTGATTATGCAGATACCCACGTAGTTGGGTCCTGAAGCTTTCAGTTAGGAAGGGGAGACAGATGTTTAATGCTCCGTGGAACCCGAGGCCATGGTTAGGTGTTCAGGGGAATTGGTTTTATGCAGTGCTCGATCACCTGTCGGTCTGTGATCTGGATGGAGAGGGAGAACACATCAGCATTTATGTTGATTTTGCTGGGGCCCAGAATGAAATGCTGAGTTAGCTGGAGGAAAACAGACCTTACAATCTCCAGTACTGTCTGCTGTTAAAACTTGCCCTTGCAAAATTTTAAAATGCACTTGTATCAACAGGTTGTTTTTTTTTTTTTCATGTATTAAAGGATTTTAGTTATGTGACTTCACTGTTCTTAATCTAGCACTGAGATGCACTAAAGCAGGAATTGCCGTGTTAGGAAATCACAGCCTGAATTTCCACAGTGAGATCAGACTTACCAGTAAGGACTGGGTAGCCCTGTATTTGCCCCAGTGTTTGGGGCTACACAAAAGGTTTGGTTTTCAGTGACAGTAAAGTGGTGCTCCTAGGATTGCTCTGTTTGCTGAACTGTAGAATAATTAAATGGGAATGTTTTCATACTGAAGAGAATTCTTAAACGATAATTTCAGATTACCAGTACAGTTTTTTCAATACAGCCAGCGATGTGTCTGATAGGTGGCAAGTTCTTGTCCTGGTAGTTGCCTTCCTCTGGAAGGAATGCTGCTGCTGAATGCCTGGTCAAGTTCCAAATAATTTAATGACAGCAAGCAGATGTTATCATCTTATGAGAATTTGGGAACTCCTTCTTTGCCGTTTGGGCATTTGTTATTTTGATCATTGAAGAAGTATAATTAAAAAAAAAAAAAGCCAACATGATTTTGATGATTGAATACAGTATGATTAAAAAAAACCCCAAACCAAATGACCCCAAAACAAAATAATCCCTGCCTGATGTTCTCTAGCTGGGATTCCAGGAGGAGCACTAATGAAGGAGGAAAGAATTTAAAGGGAAATGGCAACCATATTCAAAGTAGGGCTTTGTAATAGATGGCAATCCACAGTTTTTCTCTGAGTTCAATACCCAAGTTGATTGTTAGTGAATATTTTTGCTTTATAATGTCACCATTGCCTTTTTTACAGAGTAACCCCAAATGTGTTAGTTGAAGTTGAAGAGGAAAAAGTGTTATATTAGAAAAACAGGATGACTACCGTAAGGCAGAGATACGAGATAAATGTTTCCTCTATTTTGTAAGAAACCTGAATGGAATGAGAAGTTTTTTGTGTTTTGCTGTGCAAATTTCTAGCCACACTGACATACTTAGATGTTCTAATTCAAGGTTTATGTATATTTTCTGTTAACAAACTGGGAGTTAAGGCAGGATTGATAATAAAGTAGAGAGTAAATAAATTTGCACAAATAGGTGCTTTTCTCTGTGTTCTTACTGGAAGTAACAAAGTGTGGGAAATAAAGCAGGTGTCTGAAGTTCTCAGAACTCTTTGCTTTGCCAGGATTCTTGTCATTTTATAGAAGCCTTATTGAACCATGATTGCTTTTGTTGTTTTATTACATTGGATGCATAATGTAACACACAACTGATTGGAAGTTATTCTGGTTTTCAAAAGTTTTTTTTCCCCAAGATAAACCTGTAGTAAATTTCTATTTAACAATTTGATACATATTTATTTTAAGGAAGGAGAAATGCATTAAATTTCTTTTTAAAGTCTTTCTGTTAGTTAAGAACTGAATGTGTAACAATAATGAATTCTCTGTATTCCTGGTACAGGAGAAAGAGTAAGCAGACAGCTGCAGCCAGAAGGCTTTGTGAAAATAGCTACCAAAGTCATCCCGTACTATTGTAACAATTTGTACTTCAGGTTTTTTTGTTCTGTGTTTGTACTCTCCAGGTACTCTCTCAATTTGCTTCAGAATCAGTATATTTGAGAGTATTTGAAAGGAGTGAAAGAAACACAAAACTTTGTTTTGCCCAGTAGTTAAAGAGAATTACTTTCAAAAGAGCCTAATTTGTGTTTTTTCAAAAAATACTGTGGTGTTTTTTCTTGAATTCCTTGCCATGTATCAATTCAGAAATGGCTTCATCTACTGAATAATGTCTTAAACAATGATGCTGCAGACAAATTTTAAATTTCATTATTGATTTATTGGCTAGCTGCGTGCGTTTAGCTAGTCTAAGAGCTTTTTGGCTGCCTAAAATAGGTAGGTACCTAGCAAAGCCATATTTGCTCCAAGTACAAAAAAGATAATATGAACTGTGTACAAAAGAATATATTTTCTTTCTAAGCTTTTATTCTCTCTTCTTTTTATTTATTTATTTTTTTAAAAAATTCCAGAATAACAGTTTTGAGTTAGTGTAGTGTTCTGTAACATCATGGAGTTTTATGTTTATTGTTTTTCAAGGGAATAGTGAAATTGCCTATCTTGCACGTTAAAAGAACCTACTTTTACTTGCAGCGTGCTTTGAAAATGTCTGAAAATTCCAGTGACAGTGATTCATCTTGTGGCTGGACTGTCATCAACCATGAGGTACCCAATCTCAAATTAAGTTCTTTCAGTTTAAGACTAGCCATATGCAGTAAAATATTATTTCAACTTTGTGGGTTTTGTGTGTATGTTGCATTTCAGCAGAGAATATAGAAGAGAGAAATAAGAAAGCGTAAAAATACTGTTTAAAAATATAAAATATGTATCCTTTACTATAGATGACATAAATTTTGTTATTTTAAAATAATTTTTTTCTGTGAAGGTTTTACTTTGAAGAATTGATAGAATTTTAGTGAGATGCTGTCCTCTGTGCCATCTCTCCTGAAAACATTGACATTCTATGTAACTTCTCTGTTGTTGCTAATGTATTTCTTCTTTACCCTGCCCAGTTCCCTGTCCCCGTCCTCCAAGGTTGGGAGTAATGGGCAGGAAAAATTTATCATGCAGAAGGAAATGATTCCATGATTTTTCCAAGTCTTTTCTACCTCTAAGCTAGCTTCAGCAGTCCCTGTTTAGGAACAGCCCTCTGTTCTTACATTGTCTTCCTTACTATGAAAAAATAGGATAGAGACAAGTTTATGCTCAATGATGAGAATATTAGAATCAGAATAGAATATTAGAATAAAGTTAAAATTAGAATATTCAATTGATGTGTGGAGCTCAACCAAATTTGTATGGCTTCAGCT